TGGTGTGCCAAGGCTGATTTTTAAGGAATTAGATGTTACATGTCCAATCCTCACTGTTTGTGTCCGATCTATCAGAAAGTCTTTAATCCAGTCACAGATAGTAGAAGAAAGGTTCATGTCAACTTTTTAATGAGGGTGTCCGGAAGGATGGTATTAAAAGCTGAGCTATAATCAATAAACAACATCCTGACATAGTTCTCCAGTTTCTCTAGATGACTAGCTGCAAGATGAAAGGCGGTAGCTATCGCATCATCTGTGGACCTATTTCTTCTATAGGCAAACTGATGTTTATCAAAGTCCTGTGGAAAGCAGGTTCTAAGGTGTTGAAGGACCAGTCTTTCAAAGCAATCCATCACTACAGATGTTAATGCAATAGGTATGTAGTCATACAACATCCAGCACAGGGCATTGCAAATGCAACAACATGACACCAGTCAAGCTTGCAAAAATCTATCATTTGCCCGACAATAAATGTTGGAAATGTAAAGAAACTGAAGGTACATTCTTTCACCTTTGGTGGACGTGCCCAAGGATTAAGGCTTTCTGGGAGATGATATATAATGAAATGAAAAAGGTATTTAAATATACCTTCTTGAAGAAACCAGAGGCCTTCCTCCTGGGCATCGTAGGCCAATTGGTGCCAAAGAAGGATAGAACTTTCTTTATGTATGCCACGACAGCAGCAAGAATACTTATAGCAAAGTATTGGAAGACACAAGATCTACCCACCCTGGAAGAATGGCAGATGAAGGTGATGGACTATATGGAACTGGCAGAAATGACCGACAGAATCCGAGACCAGGGAGAAGAATCGGTGGAAGAAGATTGGAAGAAATTTAAAGACTATCTACAGAAATATTGTAAAATTAATGAATGTTAGAATGATGTTGGATAAAAAGTTAAGTGGTTTTTAGCTATAACGCTATAAGGAATATGAAAAAAATGGATTATTAACAGGTAAAAATTTAATGTTACAATATTTTAAGATTAAAGACTAGGATAAACAAAGAGGGAAAGGATTTGCTGAACTAACAAATTGAATTGGAATACAAAAAGGGAGGTGTGAGGAGGTCCGGGAAACAAGCAAATGAAATAAGTGATGGAAAGATGGAATTGTTTTTTAACTATTTTTACTTTGTATTTTCTTTTTGTAATATTTTGAAAATTTTAATAAATATCTTTTTTTAAAAAAGCAAATGCAACAACAGGCATTATTTTTTAATAATAATTTTACTATTTATACCCCACCCATCTTGCTGGGTTGCCCCTACCATTCAGGGAGAAATCATTAAGTGGTCCCCCATGTGGCCCGGGGTTGTTGTTTTTTTGAGAACCATTAGTCTAGAGCAGTGGTTTTCAACCAGTGTGCCATGGCGCCCTGGGGTGCCTTGAATGATGGTCAGGGGTGTCGTGGGCAACAATGGCCTCAGTTTCTTTTTCCTTTCCTCCCTTCCCTGATGCGTTCTCGCATCTCTGCCTCCCCAAGGCTTGCACAGCTGTTTATTGCAGCAGCTCTGGCCATAAGCTCTGCAGGCAAATGGGAAGGGGGCAGCTCAGAGACCAGGGGCAGCAGCAGTGGCTGCCCAGAGGACTCCCAAGGAGAGGGGAGAGGAGGGAACATTCCACAAGGGAGGATATTCAAAAAAGGGTAAGAGGCTGCCAGCTCTGCAGGCAAGAGGTGACATAACTGGGCACCTGAGCCCCACAGGGATTCAGCAAAAAGAATGCAGTTGGCCAAGGGAGCTGTGGACTCCCAAAAAGGTTGAAAATATCTGGTCTAGAGGAAAGCAACAAGAAAGCACACTGGAAAGCATGGGCTGTTTGTTTGATGCAACAGCATCTAACCCCCCTGTAAACAAATCAGAATGAATGCTCAGTAAATAGCAAATGAGGGCACACACCCAATAAACAGGTCACCCGGAGCGCTTTTGTCCTGTTTAATTGCGCAAGGTCCTGGCTAAACTTTAATCCCAATTAGGCACTTAATTTTGAGTATGTTAACACACTGGAGTTGGTGTAGTTAGAGAGTGTAAGACTAAAGGTCTGGGAGTGTCCAGGGTTCAAATTCCCACTGGGCCATGAAAGGTGACCTTGGGAGTCCAGTAGGTTTTGCCATCTGCACCGTATAATACATGCTACAATGTTAAAGGAAAATATAATGAAAATGATGTATAGATGGCACTTGACCCCTGTAAAGTTAGCAAAGATTTATCACAATAGTGATAATCTATGCTGGAAATGTAAAGAAAAGGAGGGTACCTTTCACCATATGTGGTGGACCTGCCCCAAGGTGAAAGACTTCTGGGAGAAGATTTATAATGAGCTGAAAAAAATGCTGAAATACCCATTTGTTAAGAATCCAGAGGCCTTTCTTCTTGGAATAATAGGTCTGGAATTGCCCAAAAAAGGATGTTAGATTGTTTTTGTATGCCACAACTGCAACTCGAATTTTATTAGCCAAGAACTAGTCACTGCCTCTTAGCCTGGCCTACCTCACAGGGCTGCTGTGGGGATTAATGGAGGGGGAGAGAACCATGTGCGGTGACGGGAGCTCCTGGGAGGAAAAAGGCGGGGTAGGAAATAAATCATCGAAGAATTGATGCTTTTGAATTCTGGTGCTGGAGGAGACTCTTGAGAGTCCCGTGGACTGCAAGAAGATCCAACCTCTCCATTCTGAAGGAAATTAGCCCTGAGTGCTCACTGGAAGGACAGATCCTGAAGCTGAGGCTCCAAGACTTTGGCCACCTCCTGAGAAGAGAAGACTCCCTGGAAAAGACCCTGATGTTGGGAAAGATGGAGGGCACAAGGAGAAGGGGACGACAGAGAAGGGCCCTAAGGAAGTTAGACTGGCCTTGACTAGAGCCAGGGCCTTTTCAACTCTGGCTCCGGCCTGGTGGAACGCTCTGTCTCATGAGACCAGGGCCCTGCAGGATCTGATTTCTTTCCGCAGGGCCTGTAAGACAGAGTTGTTCCTCCTGGCCTTTGGCTTGGAGCCAATCTGTTTTTTTGTTGTTTTTTTTTGCTTTTATAATTTATTGAATTCCAACTCATTATACATTTTATCCATTGTACAACAAATCATATCCATTTTGGACTTCCTTCACCGTCACTGACATTCTTTCATAGTCATCCCTTTAGTACACATTCCATTCTTTCATATTGCCATTTACATCTCCTTTCCTCATTATTTCTATTTAAACAATATTCATAAATTCTTTACAGAGCCTCTTTAAACCCCGCCAACGTTATATTTACATCATGGTTATTTTCCAGATAACACACAAATTTCTCCCAGTCCTTTATAAATTTTTGATCTTTAGTATATCTAATTTTCCCTGTTAATTTATCCAACTCCGCATATTCTATTAGTTTTGCTCTCCACTCTTCTACCCTTGGGATTTCCTCCTGCTTCCACCTCTGAGCCAATACAATTCTGGCAGCTGTCACCGCGTACTGGAAAAGTTTACAATCTTTTCTTCTAATATCCTTCCCTGTAACACCTAATAAAAAAGCCTCTGGCCTTTTCACAAAAGTATACTTTAACATCTTTTTCAACTCATTATAGATTTCATCCCAGAAGCTTCTGACTTTCTTACATTCCCACCACTGGTGGAAGAACGTCCCTTCTTTGTGTTTACATTTCCAGCATTTGTTGTCTATCTTATACATCTTACTCAATTTTACAGGTGACAGGTACCATCTGTAGAGCATTTTCATCATGTTTTCCTTCAATAACGTACAGGCCGTAAATTTTATGTTCTCTTTCCATAACTTTTCCCAATCCTCCAATTGAATATTGTATCCCAGGTCCCTCGCCCACTGTACCATCACTGACTTCACCTCCTCATCCTTCGTGTACCATTCTAACATTATTTTATACATCTTTGATAGATTTTTAAGTTCACTATTTATTATCTCCTTTTGGAAGGTTGATTCTTTTTCTGCATACCCCCTTTCCCTCAGCTCTTTTTTAAACATTTCATTTATCCGAAAGTAGCTTAGCCAATCATATGTTAGTGCTTTAACTTGGTCATATGATTTCAATTTCCACTTCCCTCCTTCGTTAGTGACCATTTCTCCATGGTCAATCTGATTCCCTCCCTCCCTCTCTTTCTTTTTTCTTTTCCTTCTCCTCCTGCAATGAGGCTACATTTTAATATTTTAATGTTCCATTAGTTTAATGTGGTATTTTATTTTTGTTTTTAAGTTGTAATCATTCATCTTGTTTTTATTATTGCTTGTAAGCCGCTCTGAGCCCGGCCTTGGCTGGGGAGGGCGGGGTATAAATAAAAAAAATTATTATTATTATTATTAGAGGACGAGATGGTTGGACAGTGTTCTCGAAGCTACCAGCATGATTTTGACCAAACTGCGGGAGGCAGTGGAAGACAGGAGTGCCTGGCGTGCTCTGGTCCAGGGGGTCACGAAGAGACGGACACAACTAAATGACTAAACAACAACAGGAAATAAAATCCCCCCTCCCCCCCTCCCCCCAATGGCCTCCATAGACCTCAGTGAGACTCCCTCCCCAGGAAGCGGCCTCAGTCACCATTCGGCTTTGGCCTATACAGGAAGGGAGGGAGTCACGCAACCCAAAAAAGTAACGGGAAGCCGCGCCGCTGGGGAAGAGGCAGTCTGAACCGGCCCCATGGCGCTTCGGGCCTGTCTCGGAAGCGCCTCTTGACGACGCCGACCGCGCTCTCCCCTAGCAACAGCCGGGGCGACGGCGCCCTCTTGCGCCTGCGCAGTTTTTTTTTTTACACGCCCCTTTCCTCGACTTGGAGCATGCGCACACCGGAGAGGCACCCGGGCGCGTGCGCTGAACCGAACTTTTCTCTCGGCGCGCCTGCGCGGATGCTGACTTTTCCCCCCTCCCTCCACTGCCTCACCTCCAGTACTTAACGTCAAGCTCGCGAAGGCAGTTGAGCCCACCCGCTTGCCGTAGGGCCTCTCCCGGAAGTGCGCGGCCGAAGCGGGAGGCACCGGAAGCGTTCCTGAGGAGAGAGGTCGCGCAGGGCGGGGAAAGAGGCGGCTTGCCTGACGGGGGCCAGACCCGGCGGCAGCGGAGGAAGGAGGACGAGGACGGAGGCAGCGCCGTTCCCGGTGAGCGAAGGGCAGGCCGAGGAGGAGGCGCTGTCGGTGTCCTGAGGGGGGGGGCGGCCGTCTCGGTAATAAATACACTCCCCACCATACAAAGCGGGGGGAGGGTGACGCGCTCGAGGAGGCAGGGGCGATGCTTGGAGCCCCTGCGCGGCACGTCACAGTCGCCTCTCCTCAGCCCCCGCCCACGGCTCTACGTTATAGGACCCTGGGGGACACGTCATCATCTGGGAGTGACGTAATCTGGCCGGTGCTCTCCCCCCCCGCTTACCCCGCCCCCCGTGTTTGCGTCATAGACCCCAGGTGCCTCCCCACCCCCTTTATGCCATCTCTCTGCTGGCACCTCCAGACTTTCATTGATGCCAATTGACCCTTCAGGGAGGGGCCAAAGGCTGGTTTTTCTTAAAATAATAATTCAGGGTAAATTGGTAGCAAATTCGTGTCTGTGGAAACACCTGCAGGGAGGCCCAGGGGCTATGAATGGCTCCTAGCCATGGTGGCTATGCCCTGCCCTCTGCAGTCAGAAGCTGTGATGCTTCTGAATGGCGGCTGCCAGAGGCCACAGGAGAGGAGAGTGTTTCTCTCCTGCTCGGGTCCCGCTTGCAGGTTTCCCAGAAGAGGAACCTGGTTGGCCACCGTGAGGACAGGATGCTGGGCTCAATGGGCCATTGGCCTGATCCTGCGGGGCTTTTCTTACGTTCTCAGTGGAGTGAGTCGCATGCAGGTTGCACAGCAGGCACTTTCCTTAATGCTACCGTTATGGATTAGCGTGTGAATCCGCCCATCATCTAGCGGCCCAGGATTGTCTGCTCAGCAGCCGTCTCTTAGGTCTCAGGCAGAGAAGGGTCAACCAAGGAGGCCTTGATATTCTGCCATGTGTATTCTGCCCTTTTCGGGGGTGACATTTGCAGAGCAGCACTGCAATGGCAACTATCACATGTACAGACACCAGGCACCTGCAGATTTCTTGTGCATGGTGTAATATGATTATAAAGGATGCCTAACATTCCCTGTGGGGCCTATGCATATGTTTTTTCTCCGTTATAATAATAAATTAGTAGTAATGACATTTCCAGTGGTCTTCTGTAAATGAGGCACTATACATAAAATATACAGGCTGAACTTTTATAAGCTAAATAAGACAAGGCACACAAGGTGAAGTGAATTATTTTGGGTATATATCATCTGTTAACACATCACAGTTAAGGACAAACACTGAATGCATACACCATGCATACAAAAGATGGTAAATTCCTCTTTCTTGGAAATCATATAATTGTAGAGTTGGAAGGGATCCCAAGGATTATCTTGTCCTATACCTATACTGCTGGAATCTCAACTAAATCATACATGACAGATGGCGATCCAACCTCTGCTTAAAAAGCTTTAAGGAAGGAGAGTCTGCCACCTCTACTGGGAGTCTGTTCCACTGTCGAGCAGCTCTTACTGTCAGAAAGTTCTTCCTGATGTTGAGCTGGAATCTCCTTTTTTGTAACTTGAAGCCATTGATTGGTACGGGTACTACCCTCCTGAGTGGGAGGAAACAAGTTTGCTCCATCTTCTATGTGTCAACCTTTTGCATATTTAAAGATGGCTGTCATATCTCTTCTCAGTCTCCATTTTTACAGGCTAAACATACCCAGCTCTCTCAACTGTTCCTCATAAGGATTGGTTTCCAGATCCTTGATAATATTGGTTGCCCTTCTCTACACACGTTCCAGCTTATCAATATCCTCCTTAAATTATGATGCCCAGAACTGGACACAGTTTTGTGTCATCTGCAAATTTGATGAACATCCCCCGGATATCTTCATCCAAATACAGTAGTTTTGGGTTACAGACGCTTCAGGTTACAGATGCTTCAGGTTACAGACTCCGCTAACCCAGAAATAGTGCTTCAGGTAAATAACTTTGCTTCAGGATGAGAACAGAAATCGGGCTCCGGCGGCGCAGCAGCAGCACGAGGCCCCATTAGCTAAAGTGGTGCTTCAGGTTAAGAACAGTTTCAGGTTAAGTACGGACCTCCGGAACGAATTAAGTACTTAACCTGAGGTACCACTGTAGTTTGTAAAGATGTTGAACAGTGAACCTCTTACAAAACCCTGTGTCACCCCACTTGTCACTTTTTCCCAGGATGGTGAGGAACTGTTAGTGAGCACTCAGTTGGTCAACCAGCTTTAAATCCACCTAACAGTTAACTTGTCTTCCAGCAGATATTGGAGTAGTTAAAATCTCCCGTGTCTCCTTTTTGAATATTTTGTAATCTTCTCTAGGAGCGCATCACCCAGGTCTGTCATGGAAGTCTATAGCTGACACCTTCAGTAAGGTCACTGTTGTTTCCCTCTCCTACAGTTTTTACCCATATACTCTTAATCTGTCTTTCATGCTCCAAGTCATGCATCTCTTCACAAGTGTAAACATCCTTTACCTATAATGTTGCCACTTCTCCCTTCCTGTTTGATGTATTCCTTTTGGACAGATTTTGCCATTTCAGTCATGAGTCTCATCCCACCAGGTTTTAGTAAAGCCTACATGGTCATATTTGCCATCCTGTTTTAAAAGCTCCAATTCATCTTACTTGTTTTCTATACTCTGTGCATTCGTGTAGATACAACTGAAACCATGAGTCATTCCTCTGCACAGTGGTCCTTCTATAGAAACTGCATGGGGCCGTCTAACACAGAATACGGGCAGGTGTCTTTTAACCCATTTCCACTGCAGGCTGCAGTCTTTTCTGCATCTTTTGCACTTTGATTCAACTTGCCTAGATGTTCATGAGCCACTCTAAAAAGGCACCATAAGCCCCATTTTCTCTGTACTCTCTTAACAAATATGACCTCCCTACTCTCAATTCAGGACGCAGGTGGCGCTGTGGGTAAAAGCCTCAGCGCCTAGGGCTTGCCGATCGAAAGGTCGGCGGTTCGAATCTCTGCGGCGGGGTGCGCTCCCGCTGCTCGGTCCCAGCGCCTGCCAACCTAGCAGTTCGAAAGCACGTCAAAGTGCAAGGAGATAAATAGGGACCGCTTACTGGCGAGAAGGTAAACGGCGTTCCGTGTGCTGCACTGGCTCGCCAGATGCAGCTTTGTCACGCTGGCCACGTGACCCGGAAGTGTCTCCGGACAGCGCTGGCCCTCGGCCTCTTGAGTGAGATGGGCGCACAACCCTAGAGTCTGTCAAGACTGGCCCGTACGGGCAGGGGTACCTTTACCTTTACTCTCAATTCACTTATTTCCTCCCCACCAGCTCAGCAACTTCTTGTAGCAATGCAGGAAAAAGAAGCCAATCAATTAGTCCTGCCTACGTATTACAGGCATACTGTTCTGACATGTTTTGCTTTTGCCCACTGCATGATGGGCTAGAAATATGAGCGGTTTTCCAAAATAATAAAATAAAATGTAAGCTCTGTGCCTTTCTTTTTTCTGGTTCTGTGGTGGCTCCACTTTCTCAACACCAGGTGGCAGCAACAGACTCTTTTCTTCTCGTCTATTCTCAATTACTACTGACAGAACAGCATATTGTGTGGTTCTGCTAGTTTTTGAAACAGAATTTATTTTATTTGCTTTACAGAAAATCTGTATGTATTCCTTTCCTCAGAGAAAGAGCTGCTTTGAGAGCTTAATTTTAATGAGGAAATGGGCTGGAGAGCAATGGTTTAAGGAACCTCTCTTCTCCTCATCAGCCTTCAGATTGCCATCTCAGGCTATCTATATTTTGTAAAACAAGAGTGTAAAGAGAATGTCAGGCCAATGCAAAAATACGGTGTTCTACTTTGCAGTTCATCAGGGTTTTGTTTGCTTGGGGAGGAGCTTAACACAGTGGTAGATCATAGGGTTTGCATGGTTGCTGTGATCTCAATTAAAAAGGATCAGGTAGTAAGTCAGGCTTCCTCAAGCTCGGCCCCACAACTCCCATGATCCCTAGCTAGCAGGACCAGTGGTCAGGGATGATGGGAATTGTAGTGTCAAAACATCTGGAGGGCCGAGGTTGAGGAAGCCTGTAGTAAGTGATGAGAAGCATTTCTGTATCCCGCCCTGGGGAATGACCGCTGGTCATTTAAGATGGGCAGTACTAGGCTAGGTGTACCAGTAGTCTCTCTCTTGATATGTCAGCTAAATAACCTGACTCTGTCCTCATGTGAATCATTTGGTTCCTAGCCTAATTTGTCCTGCAGTGGGTGGGCAGCTGTAATAGCTCCACCAAGGGTTCTTGAATTCAGTTGTGACCAACCCTGCTACAACTTAACTTAGACCACAAGCTTAACACTAGTCAACAGTGTGATGCAGCAGCTAATGCTATTCTAGGCTGCATCAACAGATGTTTAGTGTCCAGATCAATGGAAGTAATAGTACCTCTCTACTCTTCCTTGGCCAGGCCACACCTGGAGTACTGTCTCCAGAAGAGACTGAGAGGAGATATGATAGCCATCTTCAAATATGTAAAGGGTTGACACATGGAAGATGGAGCAAACTTGTTTTCTCCTGCACTGGAAGGTAGGACCTGTACCAATGGCTTCAAGTTACAAGAAAGGAGATTCCAACTCAACATCAGGAAGAAATTTCTGACAGTAAGACCTGTTCGACCGTGGGGTGGAAGGTGGTGACCTCTCCTTCCTTGGAGGTCTTTAAGCAGAGGTTGGATTGCCATCTGTCATGTATGCTTTAGTTGACATTCCTGAATGGCCAGGGGTTGAACTCAATGACCCTCGGGATCCCTTCCAACTGTACAATTATATGATTCTATAGCTATTATTTCCCCACTCTGACACATCGCTCACATCTTGAGGAAGCAAAGCAAATTCAGCAGATTAATTAAACCATTCATCTTCATTGGATAACCTCGTTGGGTTTTAGTATTATATCAGAGTGGGGAGGGGGAAAAAATATCTCTCTACTCCACATTTCTTCCATGTTCCCTCTTTTCACATTTCTTCTACACCAGGGGTGCCCAAACTTTTTTCAAAGAGGGCCAGATTTGATGAAGTGAACATGTGTGAGGGCCAACCA